GCTCCAGATTCCCTATCCGGAGAGGCGAGAGGGGAAGAGCAAGACGGGTTAACCGAGTCAGAGATCAAGAGGAAGGGAGGAAAGTCGCGGGGAAAGCGAGGAAAATCGAGGAAAATCGAGGCTGGTTCCCACCGCAAGCCCCCCCTGCGCGGACTGTCTCTCTCCCGCCCCGGGTCTGCGCATCGCTCTGTCCCTTTCCGTCCCGGCGCTCGCGAGAGAGACGCCGGCATTTCTATGGGCATTCATCATTCGCCCCTCTCTGTCTCCCTCTCCCTCCTCATTTTCCACAACCCCCCCGCCGTCCGCGGAGCTTAAATCTGCATTGATGGTAATCCGCGAGGCTTTTAACTAAATATCGCGTTTCATGCGATGTGTTTCACAGGGCCCGGGTTTAATGGGAAGGGTGGACTTGTCGATTCGGCCGAGGAACGAAGAGGGAGGGACAGAGGCCGAGACCCGAAGGGGTGGCGATGGTTTTGGGGGATGAATGCGAGGCCCTTCCGAAATCCGGAGAAAACCCGCGGGCATTCGCGCGTTCCCAAGACCCTGGCCTAGCTTTTGCTCCTACGGGGGGTGGAAAAAGGAGAGGAAGGAAGTCGCACCGCCAAAGGACCTCTCTCTGAGGGGCTGGAAAAACGGACAGACCGACAGGGGTAGCTAACGAGACGCCCGGAGATTTCCATAACTGTCCGGCACTATTTCGGATTCGGGGACTGATTTCCACAGGTCGATGAGAGTCCCCTAAGAGGCCACCCAAATCGAGGGGTACACCTCGAAGCACCCTATTTTGAAACTACTTCTTTGAGGCACCCTGACTGGGACACTCTCATTGCGCACCCCTAATTGAAGGTGGCAATAATTACCCCGGTCGAAACATCAGCCCTGCTTTGGCCCTACTCCACCCGTTAAATCCTACTTTCGATTTTGCATGTCCTATTTAGCATGAATCCTATCCTACTTCCAATGAGAACGAAACTCTAATTTCAGGCCTGGAATGAAAATTTGAACTCAAAAAAAAATATATATCTCGAAATACACTGGGGATTGAAATTAAAAATAACGATACACCTCTAAAACTCCCCGGAAGACAAATCCTCGTTATCGAGGCTTTCGAGAGTTTCCTCCGGCGTTATGAGTCCCTCGAAAAGTCCACGTCGGATTCGCCGCAGCCCGAGTCAACGGGGGATGACAAACCACCCTCCGGCCGTCAAGCACCCGTAAATACCAAACTCCAGAAAGCCACGGGGAAAAGGAAGGGGAAAAAAAAAAGGAAGAAGAAGAAGAAGAAGTTTCCCCGCGAATCCCTAACGCCGCCCTCGGAAGCAACCCCTCATCGATGACGGATAGAGAGTAGAACGCCGCGCGGAGTGTAAAACTCCGCAGGAGAGGGGCTCGTCAGCCACGCGGAGGGTAGCGACAAGTGATGAATGCAAAACCTTCAGAACTGGTGGAAAATCGCTCGTAAATTTACATGGATCCGGGATTTCGTCCCCCCCCCCGTCTCTGCGATCCCCGAGTCGCCGTATCACGTCCGAAAGGGCGCGCCGCGAGGACTCCGTTAGAGGATGAAAAATGGCAGCGCTCTCGCTTCGTCTCTCTCGCGCGCGCCGACTCCCGCATCCCTCCCTCTCGCTCCCTCTCGCACCCTTCGGCCTGGATGGGCGACTTGGCGGTAAAATTACGCGGCTTACGCGATCGGCACCGATCGAAACTCCCTCGCGGTATATTATATGCATCGACTGGCCGAGGGATTAATCGTTATACGCCTACGTCGGCATATAACGCTGCTTTATGGTCTCGATTATAATGTAGTTTTAAAGGGTGTTTACGTATTCCGGGTAGCACGCGGAGCGCCGGTTACGTCGACAATAACGCGATTATTATTTCCCCGAGCCCCCTCCCGGTTGGCCAGTAAATATGTACACAGTCCAGACATGTACGCGGACCTAGGTACGAGTGCCTACAATTATTTACTCCGATTCTTCCCGGATCCAGATCAGACGGAAATTTCAACCGTGATATATCCTCCCGTTGTGATTATGATATTTCATTACGATTACCCACCTCTCGTTTTCCTCGCCGGCCGACGTTAATATGCTCGTAATGTATGCATCTTCTGCCTTCCCACCCCCCCTCGTGCTCATTGAATTTTCATGCCCTTTATACGTAATCCCTGGGACACTGTGGGCCGGTTATCACTATTGAATGATGCGCTCGTTCCCTCCATTTCCAGATTACCCGACCGATTATTAATCATGCACTTCCTTATCCCACGTGGAGCCCGAAGTACTTATATTATCGAGCATTAGATTACTTAGGAGCACGTAACAATGATCTCGGTACACTCGGTGCATTTTCAAAGTACTGCGTCACTTATCAATTCCGCCAAGGAGAGATATCGAAAGCATGTTAAACTCCGATTCTATCTTTTAAATGTTCAAATAAAAATCCTTCGAGGTCCGATTTCATGTCTCAGTATCCAGTCGAAAATTCGACGACCGTCTCGATCTTCGCCGGCGTCGAAAGGATTAAATCGGAGTTTTCTCATCAATTTGCAGAAACCGAGCCAGAAGCTACTCCCTTTGCCCCCGTGTTTATTTACGTTTCAAAATTCCGCAACGTCGATTCCTGGGGAATGTACGCAACTAAAGAGGTCGTCACTCCGATGTACAAACAGTGTATCGAATCGATGAAATATTTTCTGGGACATTGAACGCAAAAAAAGAAAATCGGTAAAAATTGCAGCATTAAAAATATCCGTTTCACGGTGTATGCATTTTTTTTTCTTTCAACCTTCAATACGATATTTGAGAAATTTCGTACCCCGTCGTATTTAAGATTTTAAAATACAATGAATTTTAGAGAAATCCGAGAAAAGGGAAAAACCTTCAAAGGATTTTTTCCCATTTCGCGTATTTTCTTCTAATTCCCGGAATTTAAATAAACATCCTTACGGCCTCCTTCAGGACTCTACATTATTTCGCAACGGATCGGAAGGCAGTCGCGAGATGTCGATTTCACGGTAGCGACCTCCGATTCGACGAGCGCTCATAGAGTCCCCGAGCGAGATAGAAAGAGAGAGAGCGAGGGGGGCGTCAGGGTGAGCGAGAGAGAAAGCGATAGGGAGAATCAGCCACGCCGTCGAACAATTATCGCGACGGTGTCAATCGTCTCGCGTGGCATGGAGGCGCATAAATGTACGCCCGGGGTCGCAAATAATGCACCGGGGAGCGCGTGGCACACGTCGGCCGATAAATTCATAGAGGAATGCACCAGGACTGCAGCTTCCCAGAGGGAGGACAAAAGCGACGACGCGAAACGTCGCCGGTTGACCGAGAACGGCGTAAAGGAAAAAACGAAAAAAAAAATGTAAAGTAAAAGAAGGGAGAGAGAAAGAAAATCCACAGGGTTCATTAGGAATCCACTTTCGGCCGGCCGATTACGCGGGGATCTCGGAGGATTATCGTTCCACATCCTCGGGATGATACCGAACACGTGGGAGCCTGAAATATTCGCCATAGGACACCCTTTAGCTGCAAAGCGTTACACGCGCGACACGGGGCCATAAACTCTGCTTTAAAACGGGCTCGGCCGGTGTTTCCGAATTTTAGCCTGATTTTATCCGGATTTGTATGTGCAAAAGCGGGAGGGGCGCTAAATAAAAAGCCCGACGACCTCGTAAAACGGGTTGGTTAAGGTGGTGGGGCTGTAACGGCGGAGGGGGGGAATTTAGTCCACGGAGGTGGTCGCAATCTGCGGAGATGATTCCGTGGGAGCTTCCGGAGGGTCGGATTTCAAGGCCCGATAAAAGATGGGATTTATAACGTCTAACGTTCGGTACAACGTCTACGCGGCGCTTCTCCTCGGGGTACGTATAAATTTATCTCCCAGAGACAGCTTTACAATTCTCTTCAACCACCCCCGCTGTAACTCTGGAAACAATTTAACTGGCTTGGAGTAACGCGCGGCACGTTAGCACGTAACGCCCTATCCCCAAGCAGAAGACAAGCCCGACGAGCCGCACACCCCGTATCCGTTCCGTATCGCACCGTAGAACAGCACAAAGCCTTATCCCTCTGAAAGAGCATCACTTTTACGTCCTCCATGCGAGCGCTCTCACATATTCCAGGGAGTCTCGCCCCTACAAGCCGCTTACCGACCCCCGGGAAACCGCTTCCACCAGCTCCCGGAATTCTTAACCGGCCTCCTTAAGTATTCCGTACATTTTACTGCTTTACATCGACTCGATATTCGAGTGCACCTCACGTGTAACGATTCTCCCTCGATCGGCCCCATTCTCTCTCTTTGTCTTCACCCCCGGGTAACCACGGATAACTACGGGGGAGTTCGACATATATATCGCTCGGTACACCTCCGATAAGTAGACTCGGAATTTTTGCAAAATAGGGCAGACTGGATTTATCGCCTAACCCGCTCGAATCAATTGCACGGCCTCTCTTGTCCGAGGGGAAACGAGCGCATCCCCTGTGCTGACCAGGCAAAAAGAGCTCGGCTCGTTCCCGGCCGGGCAAAACGTAGGAGGTCGATTTTACATCGATAGAAAAACCAAAGGGGGCTTTATTCCGATTTAAAAACCACCCCTGGAACTGGGCAAAAATCCCCGGACGTGATTAAACTAAATCTAGGTAGAGCGGTTTCGAAGCACTCGGTTTCGTCGCAGCTGGTCTCTCTTGGAAAAGAAATCCCCCTTCGCTCCGGCATCCCGCGTACCGGCACTTCGATACCCGAGTAGGTTTCCTCCTCCCCGCACAGTATACCGCAACGTTGCATTTATCGCCCTGCATCAAAAGCCAACCCTCTCCTAACCTCGAAATCCGGGATACCCCGGCTGGATATTTAGGGAGCACTTTAACGTGGAGCACCGACTCGCTCTAGAAGCCGGGAATCAAAGGAAATTCGAAAATCCACCGGAAGCGGGTTTTCGAGGTTAACTCGCTGCTTTTATCCCGCACTATCCTTAGAGCGTATCACTCACTCACCTATGAGTATCTTATCCGGGGAGGCTGCAGGCACGAGGACGAGGATCATGATCGACGCGGTCATCGCCGTCGCAGCGGAAGCACCCGAGCTCATCGTCGCAGGTGCGAAGAACGTCCGGCGACGCCTCGAGGACGTCCCGCCGCGCGCCTCGCGAAACGTGACCATCCTCGACCCTCGGTGGTCTGGCACAAACTGGCGTTCGCTACTTGGCGTGAACTCGGTCTCGCTTCGGCCTCGCAGCGCCCCCACCCCGCCGCGCGTCCCGGGGGTGGAAGCGTACGCTTAACGCGCATGTGACGTCACGAGGCGCGCGCGATCTTTTCGGGATGCTGCCGCCTCCGGTCCCGCCGACCCCGTTGCGCCGTTTCCGCGGCGAAGGCGCTGTCGTGCCGGCGGCCACCGCCGCGCGCTTCCCGGCGCCCCCGCCAGGGCGCGCCCCCGACAGCAAATAAACCCCGAAACAGCTTTTCTGCAGCCTCCAACCCCTAAAAATACCAAAAAATGATCCGACTCCATGAAAAAAAAAGGAAAAAAAAAGAAAAAAGAAACGGAGCCGGGTCTTCAAAAAGAAGCCCGATGCTCAGACATACACGCCTTGCTTCAATGCCTTGCTTTTAACGTTAAAAGACGTAAACCCTGAAAATACGGGTTACACTATACACGTAATCCGGGTTTTTTGAAATACGATACTTCGACATTTTTCCTCCTATTGAGATCGAGGTTTTAGTACTCGGGAGAATAAATTCCCTAACGTTTGTGGTTTTAGGGTACACTTGTAGTCGAAAGTGGTCGGAACGTCGAAATTGTTTTAACGGGTTTAGAATTGTCGGCTTTTGAAGCGAGTGTTCCAAGTTGGGTTATCTTGCAAGGATTGGGGTTATTTTGTTGGATTTATAGCAGGGTGGTTGGAGTCGGGGATGCGCCTTGTTGGGGGGTTTTGGGTGCTGTGGGATTCCAAGATGTCGGCGGGCTTTTACCCTCGATAGGCAGCGGTTTGTTGCTCGGAATAATTAGTTGCGACCAAACGAAAGCTCTTGGCGGAAAGCGGCAGTGCGGGGGAAATTTCGAAACGGAGTTCCCCTGACGAGAGAGGTCCCTTTTCCGCAGCGGATGAAGGCGGTTCCGCGTGTGGGCGCATTTATTATGCTTTATGTCCCAGCGGGGCAGGGCCGCGAGAAATCCCGCGCGCCGCCATCTTGGCCGGTCCCGATAGGCGATAACTTCGGGATTCCTTCGCGAGAGCCTCCTCGTGAAAGCAAAGTTTGACTTTCCCTAAGCCGTTTACCGAGGAAGCGATTTAAATAAAAAATCATCGCGTCCCGCCTCCCTCCAGGGGCACGTATCCTCCCTTATCCTCCCTTATCCTTCCCTCGCGGGAGACCGCGCGTCCGCCTCGCCGAGGATTATATTAGTTGGAAGCCTTCCAATCGGGTTACAGCTGACAGCGGCAATCGTAAATCCCAAAACGAACGTTTTAACCACTCGGCCCCGAAAGTTAACATTCCTCGCTCCAGGGAGTTTTGCAGAGTCCGCGCGGCCCCAAAGAAATCCGACGCCTCCGAAAAAGGACCGAAGGGAAAAATCCATTCGGGGGCGAGAGAGGCGACGTTTACAGGCAGATTTTATGCTCCCACTGAGCGCGGGGTTAAAACGTCGCTTTGAATCATTGAAGGCTCCTTGGAACATGGATGCGAGGTCTGTCGAATGCTCCTCGACTTCCTCCCTCTCGCTTCCGACGTCATCAATAATTTGAGAAATACTCTCAGACGCTACTTCTTATACTCTACGTAGTTTCGAGTGATAAACATTCTCTGTTATCGATGATTCGGTCGCGGAAAATATTTCGCCGATCTTAGCAGGCACACGCGTCTTCGTGCGATCTTTCCCTCGTTTCTGGTAGCTAAATAGCCGTCAGTCGGCAGCCGGGATAAGGAGTTGACTTCGTTCCGACGACGCTGCCGCTGCCGTCGTGTCCTGAGATAATTAAACGAGTTTAATTAATAATATCACAGCGCTCGGCGCTGTTGAAACTTTTGTCGCGGTGACTGTTACTTCGTAGTTTCTCACTTTATAGAACGGAGGGAGCGGTTTCCGCGGGTCTGGATAATTTCCGCAGGAGCCGGCACTAAGCGACGTGCCCCGTCAACTTTGCGGCACCTTTGCATATAAATTGCGGAATGATGTTCGAAAGTTTCCCTAGCCGGACGCGATCCTTAAGGTGGGCTGCTGCGTTTGATTGGTACCGCGGCAAGCCTGATAAAAAATATCTGATGGGAGAAAGTTTCAGCTGCAACTGCGAAACCGAACTCCCGGGCGCGAAGTCGCGGTAAGGAACGGAACTCAAGCTTAACTGGAAATTTGTTAAATCTTCTGGAACATTAGCGGCGAAGTAAGGTGACGAGATCCTTCCTTGGACATCCTTCTCCATAAAGGAACTTCTGCAAGGAACTTCTTCCTTATCTCGACATACAAGGCATCCAAACTAGCACCTTCAAAAGTAAAGCTCAAAAGCATAACTCTAAAAATAGTTCTTTATTATTCCTTAGAAATATTCTTTTTTTTTTACCCACCTTTTTTTTCTTTATTTTGCCAAGACGAAAAAGTAGCGAAATGCTAACCTTTTAAATTGAAACATTCCTCGCGTACCCATCTCGAGACATCTTTATTCTCCATTCATGCTTCAAACCTCGATTCGCAATATTTAACATTCTTCTACAGGCGAGGCGTGGTTCACTTGTTTGTTCCGGGTATTATGCATAATTTCCGTTACGCGCAATTAGCTCGTGCTCATAACTCTGCAAAGGCTACTCGTATTGCCTAACGATATACCGAGGTCATAAAATATAAAATATCGTCTCTTCTTTCGAAAATAAACTTTAAACTCTTTGTCGTTAAGGAATGCCCGCGTTTAGAAAAGAATTCAAACGACTCACCTTCGTTCGTTGGACGCTTCGAGAACGCCTGCGTAATGGCTGCCGGGCACGGCTTCGTTTGAACGTCGATATATTGCGCGCGCTTCTACTGCGCAGTCACGGGACCCGAAGTCACACTGAGCGCGTCGTGTGTTACACTAAGCATGACGCGTCAACGCGGCGAAGACGAAGAACCAATCGGAATTGCGGCGGAAATGACGCCAGAAGTAAAGCGCACTTCTGGTTGGTTGTTCATTTTAGACGCTTCGACTCAGAGATAAGTTGGAAGCAGAGATGAGTTAGATCCCTGAGTTGAGTCGCCATTGTAGGCAAGTGCATGAGCCGCCTGCATGCTTCACCGAGGGCAACACAGTACGCGATCGCGCGACCCTGCCCGTGAGTAATCTCCCAACTCATCTCTGATACAAATTCTTTGCCTCTGTATTAACCTGTTTTCGCTTAAGTTGTAGCAGGGTGAGGTTATGTTAGTTCTGCGTGAAAGTTTCTTCGGGTAGAGAGTAGGTTCCTTTGCTCCAAGTTGCATTTAAATGCAGAGAGCGATGTTAGAATGTATTTAATGTCGATTGCAGATATTAGAACTTGAAATTGAGGCAAGAAAACACTAAAAATCATGGATCCTGCGTTGCTGAGAGAGCGAGAGCTCTTTAAAAAGAGAGCTTTAACCACTCCGGCGTAAGTATTTTGGCATTTTTGGGATAAATTAAGTGGAAGACGTTGTCTTGCTAAGTTATGCTTTCACGGGTGTTTGTTTTATAGATTGTGGGTTATTATGAGTTAATGAACATAGGAAAATTTGTGGATTTGTTTAAATTTAGGTATTTGGAGTTCTGTTTTTAAATGCTAATCATTGGGGTTCTGTTTAGTGTCGAGAAGAAAAAAAGGGAGCCGGAGAAAGATTCTAGTCGTGATGAGCCAGCAAAGAAGAAGCCGAAGGTGTCTTCGGCTTCCTCGGCGCCGAAGCTGGACATTGTCAACTACAAGACGATGAGTGGCAGCTCTCAGTATAAATTTGGAGTTCTGGCAAAGATCGTGAAGCACATGAAAGCTAGGCATCAGGACGGGGATGATCATCCTTTGTCGTTGGATGAAATTCTGGACGAGACTAATCAATTAGATGTCGGATCCAAGGTAAGCGTAATAAATAGAAATATTTATCGGCGCACCATTACCAACTCCTATAAATTATTGCTCAGTCCTTTTTTTAACTGAGTTCATTACGGACTTATAATCCTCACCCAAGTACACTGTAAAGGTATGTAACCTTAATAATCCTGCACTCCTTGGTTCCGTTTTCTATTTTCTGGAATGTAATATAAAATATATAGGAATATGATACTAGTAAAATATTTATGTGACATTTCAATACAACATTTCCTAGGTAAAGCAATGGCTGCTGACGGAGGCACTTCGGAAAAACCCAAAAATTGAAGTGACACCTGATTCGAGGTTTTCTTTTAAAGCTATGTATAAAATAAAAGATAAGAAATCGTTGTTAAGGTTACTTAAACAACAAGACCTGAAAGGTCTTGGAGGGATTTTATTAGAAGACATACAAGAAAGCCTGCCCCACTGTGATAAGCACCTGAAGGTAAGGCTGTTAAATCGATTTGTCAATAATCAGAGTATTTCTGGATACTACTTTTTCATGCTTTTGAATAATAACAGAAACCCAATGATTTTTATCCTGACATTGCAGAGTTTGCAGAACGAAATACTCTTCATAACAAGACCTCTTGATAAGAAAAAAATAGTTTTTTACAATGATAAAACAGCACAGTTCCCGGTAGATGAGGAATTCCAAAAACTATGGCGAGCTGTTGCTGTCGATGCCATGGATGACCAAAAGATAGACGAATACCTTGAAAAACAGGGTATACGATCCATGCAGGATCATGGTCCGAAAAAGCCAGCACCAGCTAAGAGGAAAAAGCCAGTCAACAAACGAAAGCAGTTTAAGAGGCCAAGGGACAACGAACATTTAGCACATGTTTTGGAGACATACGACGATACTAAATAAATTAACGTAATTGCGATGTATATTATTAATAACTTTCAACACTTTACTAATTATTGTGTCTGCCAGAATAACGAAACGAAAACCTGATGACTGTAAGGGGAAAAATATACTATATCTATTTTTTATAGAAAATGAATCAACAGTATTATACGCATTCTTGGTTAAAGCATTCCATTTACAAATTTCTATGATATTACTCTGTTTAGTATTTAAGGGTGATATTACTCACCTTAACTGCATCGATAAATTATATGATAATTCTTCTAACTACTTAAAAAAGAATGAAATTTCGGGTTCGTAAGAAAATGTATCAAACCTTAACACTTTATACACTTAGGGTAACAAATGAGTCCTAGGTTTATATTCACTTTATCATTGTCAGTACAAAATAAATATCCTTTAATTATGTTAAACATGACGTGTCTACGTGCACGTAATCACTCCTGTGTAGTCAGTTCGCCAACATTCTCTAAATATCCAGAGTGTTATAAGTTTAAAATGGTCATTGAAAAGTTTTAGGATTACGATTTAGTATCGAGGATATAATGTAAAAGTGCATGGCCACGTGTCTGCAACACAAGGGTGTTTACATCTGCTACCGCATCGCCATTTAGAAAATCTGATAAACGTTTAGGAAAAAGTGAGGCATTCGACAGACTCGGTAGAGCAAGTCTTTGGCACTTATGGTAATTAAATTTAACAAAATTAACCGAGCGCTCGCTATATACAGCAAGTGGTTTCCAAGTTCCTTTTAAAGTCCTCGCCCATAATCTGGGAGATGTTAGGACGTGATAGGCGAAGAGCTTTCGTGACTTTCATGACTTTCCCTAGTGGCTCTACCGGTGCTAGTCCTTTGGCAAAGCAGAATCGCTTTTTCCCCTAGAGTACGCTCTCGTAGCTTTGCTTCCCAGCATCCTGTCGAGCAAAGATTGTTTGTTCCTTCTCCTGGCGGCCAAAACTTCTCGACAGAGCTCGTGGAAGGACTCTGCTACTTGAGCGACCTGAATTTAAATGCAACCATAAATACTGTGTTCGACAAACCGCACTTAAATTAGATGTCTCTTCAGGAAACGAACCTGTTCGGCAGCCGTGACTTCGCTGAACCAGCACTCGAAGTCTTTGGCCAGGATCTCCCCTTCCTCGGCACTGACCTGCCTCAGATGAACCATGTCGGCCTTATTGCCGACGAGGGCCAAAGGCATCGCCGCTTCGGGATCAGCCACTGCCAAGGCCTGTTTTGCCTTTCTGACGAAGTTGAAGGAACCCCTGTCCGTGATGGAATACACCAGCAACAACCCGTCGGCCCATTGCAACGTCTCCGTGGTGGGCAACTCGTCCTCGCTCTATGGTAAGATCGCTATTAAATCGGTGGCGATTTCGGCCAATCACTGGGCTTATTTATAGAGCATCACCTTAGGACAAGAGTCTAGGATTTCAAAGAGCACCGGCTCCCCGTCCACCAACACCTCGTGCTTGTACCGGTTCTCTGAAACACGAAGTCCCGACCAACTTGTTAACACCGGGTCCATACGGCGGGGAACATCAATGGTCCACTGAGAGGCAGTTAAGGACCTCCGGGAAATGTTACATCGACGCGGAGGATCCCGCAAATGTGCTCTACAGGTTGAGTCATGAGCTCTTCAGGGTCTAGTTTGGTACCCTATCTCTTCGGTACCGTGGATTTGCATCTTGGGGAGAAGTTTGACCTACCCGCTTCAACGTGGTGTTTCACCGTAGTACGTCGTGATGTTGCTCGCATGTAATTTCTATGTATACCTTTTGTTCATTGTTAATGGTTTAAGCGGGATTTTTTGGCGAGGGTGAGATAGGTGCTTGTCGCCCCCTCTCACCCTTGACACTCTGGTCCGTCCTCGCGCGGAGCGATACCTTGTCGTTCGGGGATCGGGCCTCCGCAAACGATGGTCCTGTCTAGTGTCAAATTCGTCTGTGACAAATTTAGACCAGACGAGAGAGCCCGAGGTATGCCGAGGGGACGGCATTTAGAAGCGGCTCGCACTTGCTGGCAGTTTTTCAGCCAATGGCGAGCCGCCCCGAGGTTGCACCTAGAGTACCACTTCAAGGATAGGGCTTGAAAATTCATACGAATCGCGGAAGTACTCACCCGATTGGTGGTCGTACTCTCCGATGTATCGCCTCGTCAGGAACCTCACGGTCAGGGCTGTAAAAATATGAGAAATACCTTTGGCAATATTCATTGTAAGAAGCTCGCGGATTCGGTCGCTAACCCGAGCTACTGAGAGAAAAAAGAAAATAAGAAAGGAATGGAAAGAAAAGGCGGAGTAAACTCGCAAATCAAGGCTGAAAGCGTCCCAGAGGATTGACAAGTCTTGGGATCGCTTTTAGCGAGCCGAGAGGCCGTCTAAATTTACGGAAGCTTGTCGATACCAATCGCGACTTTCGGCGGTTTATTTTACATCCCGGTAGGAAAACGTTTGTTTAACACATTTTACCCCGGTGTTCAAACAACCGCGCCACGGAAGACTTCCGAAAGAGCCGCTTCTCTGTCCGCCATATTGAAGCCCTCGAAAGCCTCCTCCGGAAGTGGTCCCGAAGAACCGGAAGACTACCCAACCGATATGAATTTCTTTCCTGAGATAAACCTGACGTTAGCGTCGTGGCTTAGGATAACACGATCTTCTTTGTAATTAACCGTCGTTAATTATCCGCAATACGTGATTTGCCTTATCGAGGCTGTGTGAATTACAACTATTAATGGCGGAACGATACATCGGTACATCGCCCTCGGCCTCCACGTTGGTCGTAAACTCCTCGCCGACGAGTGTTTGTTTAACAATCGCCGTGGGGGAAGTTCATTTCTTTTTTCTCCTTTCTTTCTTTCTTTCTCGAAATCGATGCACGATGGAACGCCAGAAGGGAAAAAACATTCCCGCGGTTTGTTTTGATGGGCCGACGCCATTTTGAGTTGGACGAATCTGGGTCTTGGTCGGACTCTCTCTTTCTCGAGAACTGGCGCCGTAAAAGACCGATCAAACGACGAAATCGGCCGATCGCGGCCGCAACGACGCCACGCGCAGACCGCAGGGGACCGCAAACGCGAAAGCGAGCCACCCGCTGCGTTTTCTCCGCTTCCGTGTAACAGGCACGCGACGCCCTGAAACGAGTTCTCCGGCCAAGAAGCAGCTCCGACTCCTCGGTCCGAATTTTTGCCCGGCTTAATTATTAGTTTGTAAATATTACTGCTTTATTATAGTACCAGGAATATAAGTATCGGATGATGTCGCGGAGCTTTAGACTGATAAGAGGAGAGGAAATCAATTTTATGTGTATTTTGTTTATCTTCTTGTATGTGTCTCTTGGTATTGGAGGGGCTTTAGACGCGACTTAGCTCTCAGGTGTGATGGCACTGTTTAGTACGCGCGCATCGCTCGACATGATTTTCTTTGGAAAAATGGAAATTAGCTTCCGCGCCCGAGCGCAACCGTGCTATGCGGTCTCGTGTCATTCCGATCGCGATTCCCTCGAGAGAAACGAGACTCGGGTGGCACCAAGTCGAAACGAGAACCGCAGCCTGGTGACCCGCTTCGAGGTGTACCGCACTATTTTTACCGCGAACCTGCCGCTGGCGCCGCAAAACCTTGTACGAGAGCTCCGTTAACGCGTCCTGACGACGTGTCGTCGACGCCGACGACGCCCAGGCATCCGAATTGTCCTCGGTATCGGGAAATAACTGGCGTCGCCAAGTCCTCCAACGAGAAAACCCCGGAAAGTCTTATGAGAACCCAACCGGACGAGGGAAAACATTTCCACATATGGCAAAGCTCAAATTTTCAGGAGAAAAGTGGAACTTTACGGAGAGTTAAGGTGATATGAAAGGGTCATTCTATATATATATATATATACATATATATATATATAAAAACATGAAAATATTTATGACACTTTTCTCCAAACCGAATGCACCGAATTATCTGAAACTTTGACACGTGGTTATGGAGGCGCTAAAAAAGAACGCAATGCTCGTGAAATTTCATTTTTCGACAAAAGAAATGTCTCTGTTGGTTCTTGTCCAAGGTAAATAGAGATTTTCTTTCAAAAAATGACATTTCACGAGCATCGCGTTCTTCCTTCGGAGCACACTGATTGTTACTCATTTTTCTCCGCGAATCCGAGGCGGAAGAGAGTTCCTAAATTTTGTCACCGGTATAATTTCGCAACATCTCCCAAGGTAAACATTTTCTTAAACGACGAAGTAGCACTTAGCAGCCGGATACAAGCGTTCCTGGCGTAATCCGCCGAAATGGCCCCAGAGGCCTTGGGAGGGTATTTTTATATATGAATTTTCTGAATTTCCTGAAGATTCCGAATTTCTTTGACTTCCTGGATATCCTGATTATTCCGATATTTCTGATTGTTCCAGTCCCCCGGAAAAATCGATGAATATCGATACGGACTTCTGGTGTATAGGGATTCCCTTGGGGCGTCTCCCAGACGGGTCCGGACGTCTTCGGGAATTCGTTGCACTTTCCGACCCTCTGCTGTTGCAACGGACGACCAGCAGACTAAATATTTGATCAATGCATCCCCGTTTTATTCGCGTGTTCCCGGGTACACGTATCCGAGTCCTTTATGCGAGCCCGGCCTCGTTTGACGTTTCCCCGCTACTTCGACCGTGGGTTTTGGATCTTTCCTTGGAATTCCGTTTCGCGGACTCAGAAAGCCATCTTTCCCCATCAAAGCGAGGAACGGCCAGGAATTAATCCCCGAGCTGGTTCGTCATTTGACTTCTTCTTTCCTAGGGAAATTTCGAGTGTGAGGAAATTTACGTTAGACGTCTTTTCGAGGGAGGTCAACCGAGGTTTTTGGGGGAAGCGGAGTGCTAGGAATAGAAAACCTTATCATCCCGAGCCTGGTCTGAAAATACACCAATGGTGCCATGGTTATGGTATGCGAAGTGCCCGTGATTGGCAGGAAGGCGTCGAAAGTGGATCGACGCCACTTTAGACGGGATCGCGTTTTATCTACTCCCGGTATTCGCGCTCCCTTTCGATATCATCCAGTGAATTATTAGCCGAAAGGTTTTCCATCCCCCCTGAGTTCCTCGACACTCCGAATTAAGAAGCCATTTAAGAGGCTGAATTATCCCGAGTTGCCCCGAGGTGAAGCGCACATATAAATAGCGTGCACCGAGATTTGCATCCGCCAGTTGCAGCTGCTGGTACCCCGGGAATTATTTGCCCACCTATGCCTTAACACGCGGCATTACTTAAAATAGTACCGGCCTAGCATCGCCAAATTTCCGTCAATTCCTTTCCCCGAGTCGGGAAACTGAAAGGCTTGTCACGGAAATTCCAACATTCTGTCCGTGTTTCTAAAGTGAACAACTTTTCCATTTTATTGCCCTCAACGGGCGCGTGTTAATGCATCCTGCGTGAATGCAACTATTCCCATAGTTGACCATCCCCTGTCCCCGGAATGTGTCGCTATTAATTCCCACCGGGAACTTGCCAAGGCCCCCAAAGTTTACGCCAGACTGGCAAATGTCTGTCTAACTGCATTTTACATCTCGAGCAAACTTTCCGGCATTTCGGTACACGTCGAAGGATCGCTATCGTAACTAACGCCCACGGCCTCGATTAAGAACGGCACGAAGGATGTTACTCATACGTCTATTTTCGAATTGGAGAAGAATTTTTGGAAAAGTCGTTTCCCCCGCACCCACGTGTGCATCTGCACCCACTGCACCGCACATCTTGAAGCTAAACAATTGGGAGGAAAGAGCGGCGGTTTTCAATTTTTATGGTTCCCTTCTTTCTTTTTTGCATTTACCTTTTTTTTTTTCTTTTTTCGTAAATACCGGATAATTATACCGGTCTCGATTTTCCACGTGGTTGTGGTCAAATAAATCCGGGACCCTGGTACTGATTCTCGGGTCGACCTTGCCCCGAGATTTGACAGCGCGTTCGGAAAATTAGTCACCCAAGAACTACCAAGCCGACTCGAGATCTCTTGGCAGACATTTACTGGCGAATGGTCTTGACAATTCCTATCGCCCTTCTGCTACTTCGAGAGAGAAACATTTTCCACCTTCGACCTCTCTCTCCCTCTCTCAAAGCCGTCCCCAGGGATTTATTATCCGGCGCTGTGGACCGATCGGGGCTCGATAACGCGCCCTCGAGAGATCGATTTGTTTATTCATCTCTCGTGCCTTCGCCTCTATTCCTGAATTTACCCGACAAATGCGTCATGTTAAAGGACTCACCGCTTTTGCCGACTCCTGGGGCGCCGATCACCGCCACCTTCACCTCGCACAAGGAGCTCTTCTTCCTGCGAATCCCTCTGATTGCATTTGACGTCATAGTCCAGGCATCTGCACCTGGAAAATGATTTTAAAACGTTTTAATCATCGCCCCTTTCTTTTGGCAATTTTTTATTCGCCCGTGGTTCACCTCGGATTTATTTATGAAATTACTGTATGTCGGGACGTTTTTAAGAATTTTTCGTATTTTTCCTATTTTTCGTACTTTTCGCATTTTTCCTATTTTTTCCTATTTTTCGTACTTTTCGCATTTTTCCTATTTTTCGTTTATAAAATTACTACTTGGTCGTGGGAGAGTTTTTAGCACTTTCTGGCATTTCCGTGGGAACCATTGAAGTCGCGGATGTGCTGTGTAGATCCGGGGAAAGAGTAGTGACTAGTTGTTCCCCCCAAAACCACTAGGACTCCTATTTTCGGAAGGAGCACGGAAATGCCGCAGCTGTTCTCATTACCGGAAGGGGATTCTCGTTCTTCGAGTAACCCTAAACGGCGCCCGTCGTTTTCGGGACGGACCTAGGAAATCCTCGACGATTTACGTCTCCCCGTACTATTTTTGATGGGATTAAACCCAGAGATCGAATTCTCTAAGAGCCGATCCGCTCAAGGGCTATTTCGGAGCCATGGGGAAAGTCGAGGCCGCGGACGAGAGGAAGAGCATTCCGAGAGAGCGTGAAATAAATCAGCCCGAATTTCTGAAATCCTTTCCCTCGTTTTAATCCATATCTCGGGAAATAATGTCCCCACATTGAAGAAATTCCCCCGCAAAGATATCGGCGGTCGGGTTAATTTTTTTCCCCCGGATGTTTGGATACGTCTGAGAGATGTCGCTCATTTTGTCCGGGAAGATGACAGGGAGGAAAAAAAGGAACGGGCCGAACTGACGGAGTGACAGAACGAAAGGCACGGAGTGACAAGTGCATTAAGGGGATAGCTTGCAGATGGGCCATTTTTTGAATTTCCCGCCGGCTCCGCCGACGCAAATCCGCGGACGTGGATCTCGCGACTGTTGGACATTCCCGGGATATCTCGCCGGTTGATAAAACGTTTAAGAGGAATAAATTAGCGGCCGTGATGGCCGTGAATCCGAAGTTAGGAAAATATATCGAAATACCTTCGCGAGGTGGACGGGAGATAAATATTGTTTGCCCCTTCACCGCCGGGGGCGAAAAGGCAAATAATGGGTCCGATCCGGTGAAACGAGAACCAAAAATGCCCCGGGGGGATCAAATTTGAAACGCTTAACACATCTACCCCGGTAAATCACAATTTGGCATTGTAGCAGCCCGTCAGTCAGGGAGCGAAATGAATGTCAGGCATTAAAACAAGCTTCGGAGTAAATGGATACACGCTCGTAATAGTTGTAACTTCGCGAGGGAAGCTTCTTCGGCGTTCCCGCCCCGGCGGGAAATCCTGGGGAAACCTGGGGAGGAATCCGATGTATGGGGGAAATTATACTAGAGAAGTCTCGGATTTCACCTCGCAAATTACACCTCGGTTACACGGCATTCCCCTTGTCGCGGGGAAGGAAAAAGAAAATGTCTAGTGACAAAACGATCACGGCGGAATTCCCACGTGCTCAAGACGCTTGCGTGTTCTAGGGGGGAAACGTTCCACTGCGCTATAAGCTTAACATTGAAAATGTTTATTGCTGACAAATGAGCGAGCCATATCGCGGGCATCGTTTATTCAGGATATGTTAATGGAGCGCGTGCAATCGACTGCCCGAGGAATACCGACGAGAGATTTAGATAATGAATTAACGAAGCTATAGTGATTCGCCCCCGCCAATTATTGAGGACCCTCCGAATCGATTTCGAATTTAAGCAACAGGCTTCTTTGATACCACCAATCGCGAATATCAGGGGGAGATGGGATGCGATAATCAATTCGCCACCGCGAACAAGGCTTTATCATTTCCATGCAAATCACTGATACCGATTGCCTTCCCTTGCCTCGAATGAGGGAGGAACCTTGATAACCAACGAATTCCATGATTATTTCAACAAACGCTTAATAAATACCGTGGATCGACATTGTTCTCCTTTTACACTAACGATTTAAGGGAACGAACAAATCTTTCTTAGGTGTCATTAATCACGTGTCGCATTTATCTCAGACCTCTTCGTACAAGATCGCGCGATTGTTCATTTATATTCCCGTCATAAACAATCGTAAAAATCGGCCGTGCATTAGATTGCTGGAAGTACTCACTCTGAAAATCGATCCCGAAATAAAAATTCGAGCCCCGCTCTCCTCGCCCCTCGCCGTCAATATCCCTCTCGCTCGGGGGGATGAGCACATATATATGGCGAAATATATGTATTTATATAAACATACACGGCGTAAGGGTATACAGAGGTATCCCTCTTTTTTTTCTCTTTTTTATTTGTTTCAATTCGCTTCACCGTTCGACGTGTCCATTAATATCACTTCCATCAGGCGTGTCGCTTTACGCGCGATATCAATGCAACATCCGGTTGAGATTAATTCGAGAAAAAAATAATAATTGACTTCTCGACGAATGGGGAATCGCCGTTCGTGGAGATGAAGGTGGAAACGAACGAGAAATCCCGACTGTCAAAATTTTGGCAGTTGTCACGTGGATAGTGCCTCTGCCAGAGCGGCGCGATCGTCCGCCGCGTTTCTTGGTCCAAGCTCGACTGTCTTTCTCCCTTGACTTTCCGCCTTCCCTCTTGCTCGCTCTCGTCTCGTGCCCGCTCCTATATTGCCGGGGCGAGGTCTTTTTTTACTCTTAACACTGCCGCCGGTGAAGACCGACTTCCGGTTTGGAAACTCGAGCGCCGAACGGGATTCGGCGGACTCGGTAGCGGCCGATCGACCGATTTTCCGTGGACCTCGAAAAAAAACAAAAAAAAACACGAGTGCAATTGCAAAAGTGGTACTCTCTTAAGGTGATATGAAAGAGTCGGTCTATATACATCCGAGAAGCCAAATCGTTGGGGGAAGTATTCTCCAAAATAGCTGTACCGATTCGTTTGAAATTTTCCCACGGGAATATGGAGGCCCTAAAGTAGGTCCTGAAACTCAGGAAATTTCATTTTTCATAGAAAATTGATTTATTTATCATGAACTTGAACCAACGTGTTTTTAGAGAAAAAATGTAGTTGCAACTAAATGTCACAGATGGCGACGGTGGTTCTAAACAGTCGTTGGAATAATGAATTCACGGGATTTCGTTAGTTTTACGTCGATCTCTTTATCATTACTTTACCGAAATGACATATCGAATGCTTCATTTCATACCATTCTCAACGTAGACTGTGAAAGACTTCAACATGAATATAAACGTCTGTAACGAGACGCGCCAGTTTACGTTACCACTTCAGTATTCAAAACGGCATTACCACCAAAAAGGATATTAATGCATTTTAATTGATCGACCTCGATTAAATTTCTCAGCGCCTTTCACATCATTTTAAATAAATGCATCGAAGAAATAACATTAATCAAGACTTATATATCTTATATTATATGTATATATAGACAAGATATATATATCCAACTCATCTCTGGTATATATATATATATAAGAAAATAATTACTCAATGTCGATGCTTTCATGCAAAGTATTCAAATTTCTGGATGATACGATTTTTTTTATAGGGGCTGTATTTAAAGTACAGCAGTGCTTATATAGGGTGTATCCAACTGTTGGTGCAAGATTAGAGGCAGATATGAGTTGGTTAGAGGCGTTTAATTTATTCACCGGGATTTATGCGATGGGTATTCAATTTGACATTCCTCTCTCCGGGGGAGCTACCGTTTTAGCATCTCGTAGGTTCCTGCAATACCGTTGGGGTAATTCCGCTTTTTTCCGATTGCGAGTTCCCATGGTTAGGACACTCGCTGAACAACCAACTAAGAGCTCGCATCACTGCAGGCATGATAGGCTCTGAAATATTTTCAAAATGTAGAAGGATCCTTTCGTTTCCTATTTACCGACGGAGTGACTGGTCGTCGGTAAGAGTAAGCACGTAACCTGGTAGTTGCTGAGTCTGCCGCGAGGCGGAGTGAAATTCCCCTATTAATTTTTTTTTATAGAAAAAAAATGACAATACGAATTCCCCGAACTTGCCACGCGGAGAAATGAGTAAACTCTCGTCTTACGATCCTTTATTTTATCATATATGCACAGAAATACAGCTCTTAATTTTCGAGCGACTGTATAAAAAGCTGCCAAGCACCTTTACAATATGTTACTTTTCTCCGGCGTGACATTTTCCGAAAATATAGGGGAAAAATGGAATTGTCGTTCGTTTCTATGCCTAAGGTTGTTAATTAAGAAATTGTCGTTTTCTCGTTTTTCTCTCCGGGGAAGTACCTCCCCTCGTTCTTCCTCAATCGCCCGCTATCCGTTTTGTCTTCTGAAAGAGTATTTTGAAACTGACTTACTGTTAGCCGGAAGCCTATTTTCACCGCTGTCAAGAATCTTTGGAGCTCTTGGGCGGCTTCTTTGTGGCTCCTCTTCATCTTCCTCGACTTTGGACATTTCGTCCCGGAAATCTGCATCTTCTTCAAGTTGGTCTTGAAAGTAGTTCTCTTCCTTGACTCGGTTTCTATTCCTCTCAATCTTCATTCTGGCTGTTCTTGACCTCCTACGACGTCTCACCTTGTCATCGAACTGTCAAAATGTACCATAAATTATCTCGGGACTTTTAAGAGATAGATTTAGACAGGTCTTCGTCCTTCGGATTGGAATGAAAACGTAATGAAACTTACCTCTCGGAAGCCTCGCTTTATATCCTTCAAAACGGTTTCTATAGCCTGAAGAGCGTACACTTCCTTTCCATCATCCTTGGATCCTTTCCTCCGGGAAGAAGGCCTCATCATTCGAATAGTCTCGTCCAATTTCTGAATTTGATCACCCAGCTGCGTCAAGACCTCCTCACTATTAGACCTTGAATTTTCATCTGCAAGGAACAATCGGCCGTGAATCGTTAGACAAAAGCTTTCGAAGGACGAATCCCAGGTAACACTTCTGTCTCGTATGACACGTATAAATCTTGACAGCTAAGGCTCCAAAGAGCCCCATATCGAATATCACTGCTGAAGCTTATATAAAAAAAACAAACAAACATATATTCATAGGAAGAAATGCCGGGACCATTTTTCTTTACCACTGCAGTTGACTCATACGCAATTCTAGCAGTGGGAACGATTCGATGCACTCGGGTGCAATTAGATGTGTATATATATATATTTTTTTTTTTATCACTTTAATACGCGTGTCATCTGACAGCACAATTTCACCTGGACGAAGTCAAACCTGCTGAATGCTCCTCGATTTTTTCGTACTCCAGAACTTCATTTTCAATGAAATTTACGCGTCTACTTTTGATGGATCCCTCGTTTTTTGAAGAATTCCCTTCTATATGGAAATCGGCACTTTTCGAGCTCCAGTCTATCCGATCTCCATTATCCTCTAATCGAGACGACCTGGAGGACAGTTAATATCCAAAAGAATAAAATTATTAACTTTTTTTTTAATCGGTGCTACCTATCGGTGCAGCGACTCGAGAGATCGTTCTCCAAAATGGCGACCGCGTCTCCTGGACGCGTCTGGTTCGCATCTCTCGATTTGTACAAACAGTCCTGGGGGAATTTCATGTCGTCCTCGTTGAATTTCGTTTTCGACCCGAAAGTCTCGAGACTATTGTCCTCTTCGTTCTGCAAATTATATAAACATAATTCTTTAGCTTTTTTAAAATGAGGAAATCAATTAACGAGATTCATTGGTCCTAACGGTTTCTTTCGCCACGGTGAACACATTGTCCCCTGTCGGTCCTTTCTCAGGATAGTCTTCTTCTCTCGGCTTATTAATTGGTTTAATTTTACGTTTATTATCAAGAACAGGGCGCGGATCCTCCATAATGACTACGTCTTCTCTCTCGCACTTTTGCTCGATCATCGCCATTTCTCGCGGACTGCCACTACAAAGTTACGTTTTATTGTCATAGAAGTCCGTAATATAAGAGGTAAGTGATTTCCTATTCTTCCATACCTGATTAAAACTGCAGCACAGGTCTCGGCGTCATCGCACCCCTTCAAGCCGTGACGATAGTATTCATTTTTCGTTGGCAAATCAACGGATGCACCCGAATAAAAGTCTAAAGGCGTTTCCAAGCATTTTCGAAGATCCAAGTATGGCACTTCTTTTAAAACAGTTTTTCCACTTCCATGACTATGGCGATTGTGATGACGACGATGGCCTCGCCTTTCCTCTTTACCGTGTCCGTCGTTCTGTTTCCCTTTTTCAGTTTTCCTGAACAGAAGTTACGTGAGGATAAACGTAATGTCAAGTTATTTACATGCTTCGCCAGATGCCTCCATTTAATGCAAGACCGTGCCTTTCGTCCTCCAATTTGGCCTCGATTTTATTCCCCTGGTCGATATTCAAATTTGGAAAATCACCGCAACCCTCGGCATAAAGGTCGTTGTATATAGACCTCCCTCCTCCGTGAATTCGTAAAATCTTTTCTGACTCGTTGAAAAAATTATTCCTCATTTTGTACGAGTCGTTCGGTGCACCAATGGCGGACTTTAAGCTGTTCGCGATTCCGTCGATTAGCAGTAGACATCCTCTCCGAGCGTCTAAATTAAGTATGGCAATTTATTTAATTCGTTATATAATATTGTATAATTTAAGTCACTCACACGATCGGGACCGAGGAACGTAATAAAGTACGACGAAGCCGAGTACTGTGAGTACCATGAAGAGTCTCTTCAAGAAAACGAGCCATCCGTAAAAATAGGACATGTCGTCCGAGCACCCTGGAGACGTTCTTTCGTATCAATGAGCAGTCCTTAAAAAATATGATAACTGTAGGACAACCATGTAATTTGCCTCTTACCGATCCCGTCATGCTCCTTATCCGCTAAACACGGGCCCGCCACCGCGAGGAGGAAAACTATGAATTTCATAATTCCTAGATTATCACTTAGTCATATCCAACTAGACACGTCACCCGACGTTGTCAGAAACGGGAATTGCCGTGAAACAATATGTCATCGATGACCTGAACTTCCTTATATCGGTGTCTAAATATGTCGAAGCGATATTTACGCTATCTTACGTTTCATTTTGCACACTGCTACAATTATTCCCTTAAACTTTACGACTTATCAGGCGCGAAGGGAGGAAAATAGTGGAAAAGGTGTAAGATTCGTATCTTAATTTTTATTATGCTCGTACTTTACAATATAATACAAACCAAACGATTCGTATACTTGTCTCGCGGCAACATAATCAAGCATATTACGGTGCTCTTCGCGTACAGTTAGCAGAGGGTGGGTGCAGAGTGCATAAAAGGGCTCCAACTACTCTCTAGAGGTTCTAAATAGCAACTTTGGTCCTCTACACACGCAAGGGGCCGCTCCGGCGGGAGGGAGCCTCGGCGAGTCCTGGAGATTGTCTCGAAAATGGAACGCTCCCCGAGGTCCCGTCGCTCCTTCGAAAGGGTCCCGAGACAAAATGCACGGCTAACAACATCTAGAGTTGCACTTAAGTACGACAAAGACACCTCCTCTACTGGGGTAAACGAGGCCGCCACTTCGGCGGGACCAAGATGGCCGCCCGAGATCGACGCCGCCATCTTGGTCCCGCCAGAGGACTCGGTGGCACGCTGACACGTATCCGAAGGTTCTTCCCCCGAATCACTCGGTCTTAACACGCACGTACCTAATATCGGTGAGATCTACTCGAGAAGAGAGGTCGATTCCCGTCAACCGCGACACCTAGGGCCACAGTTGACGTTCTAGGTTAGTCGATTCTCAAACGCGGCCAACTAAGGAGGATCGGCGAGGCCTGGGCCCCGCGCGGATGGGTTAGGGCGAATACGATACAATAACAGCGACAATTATAACGCTTGACGGTCGTCCCGACTACGGGCGCGGGCGTATAAATAAAAAAAAAGAGAGAGAGAAGAGGAAGGACGAACGCCGCGGCGGGGAGGGGGACAGGCGAATGACGACTTTATACACGAGGCGAATTACGACGAGGGATGGCGATGAGGGATGACGGAGGAGACGGAGAGAAACGGAAAAAGACCTACCCGAAGCGCGGTGGCGCCATCTTGGCGGCCCTCCACCTCGGGATTTCCGACCCCTGTAACTCTTCGCGTGGGTGACCTAGCGCCACCCCCGACGGCTCGTCGGAAGCCTGGCTTTGGCACCTTGAGCGAGGTCCGGGAAAACGATGAATCCCGGGGAGGTGGCTCGGACGAAGCGAGATTCGAGGAGGGCCATCTCGGGGGTCCCTGGAGGACCCCGAGGTCTGCGCTCCTTCGGGGCCTGTGGAGGGTCGGGCGCGAGTGTGGCGGCCTCCTTTACGCGAAGGACGCCTTGATTTTGTTCAGGGCGTTCGTCAGGTGGGTCATCTCGGTGTTCAGCTGGGACACCAGACCCTCCAGCCGGTCCACGCTGTCCAGGACCTCGACGCGCTGCGTATGGGGGTTGAAGCGGACCTCGAAGGGCCGGCTCATGGTGCTGACCCAACGGCGGAACTTCTCCTTCGCGTCCTCGAAACTCTCGGCCACGTAGTACACCGGCTGGTACTCTTGGTCCTGGTAGGGCTGCACTGCCGTGATGGAAGGGTCGAAGGGCCGGTGCTCGCACTTGTCGCTCAACGAGTGCAAAAGCTCGCCGTATGCCGAGAGCAGACCGGCTCCATAGGCCTTCACTTCCTTGCCCTCCTTGCAGAGCCCGAACTCCACGGTGAACCAGTAGATCGTCGACAGCTTCTCGATCTCCTCGTCGGAGGCGCCCAGCGACGCCAGGCCGATCTCCTGAGAGAACTGGGCGAAGCTGGGGTCGGCCAGCAACGGCATGTGACCCAGCAACTCGTGGATGCAATCCCTGAAATCAGACCACGGCCATTCTCGTCAACGAAAGCTCGATTTTACTTACGAATATAGTTCTGTAAAAGCTCTCGTCCGAGAACCAGCCCCGGAGGATTTCCGTCATCGTCCGGGAACATTGTCGAGCTATCATGTCGGGCATTCTCGCAATTAGGAGCCCTGAAGAAATCGGAGCAAGGATGCGAGCAGCCTCCACGACGGGAGTTTAGGTCGCAGGACGAGTTCGGGACCCGGGAATCGAGTTATCAGCACTATCGTATCGTTAAAAGCCAATTAGAGTTCCATTACACGCTTAGAGAGGCGCGGTAATTCTATTATCATCGCTCCCTCTCTTCCTCGCTTTCTCCACCCCTCTTCCCTCTGCGAGCACGCCCCGGCGACGCATCGCCATAACGATATTGATTGCCGCGCACCAAACTCCGAATCAAGAGCCCCATAGGAAAATCTTTGTCTTTCGCAAGGTACTTTAGGAACTGGGGAAGTATTCGTAACCCTGAAGAACGCGAAGAGGACCCTGCTGATGGCCTTAAAGAGGCGAGATTTCGAGAAAACCATACTTACGGCTCAGGGGTGTGGTACGGACTGTTGATGTGGCGGACATATTGAGTGCTCTGGAATATCCTGAAGGCCAAGCTGGACAGGAAGTCCCTAGCCGTGAGGAGCCCCGCTGCAGGACGCAGAGAAAAGCCGGTGTTCTTCCTCAGGAAGTCGCTGACCTCTTGCAATTGCGGGATGCGGTGGGCCTCGAAAATCCGCTCTTCCTGGAGCTTCTTGAAGACTCGCTGGTACTCGATGCAGGCGTGCTTGGGCACCAGGTCGACCACTGTGTTGAAGACTCTGGTCCACGTGGCGTTCTCCGTCTCCGTGTAGGGGATGTTGGGGATGGGGTCGCCATATTTGTAGGCAAAAGCGATCTCTGCAATGATCTTGCGCCTGGCTCGGTACTCCTTGTCGGCGAACCCGGGATGGTTCATGTCCAGGTCGGGCTCGTACTTGGTCATCAGATGGTTGCAGTTGTCCAGCTCCGAAGCGTGTCTGGGGAACCAGGGGTCCTTGATGCTGACGGAGTTGTCGGCCAGCAGGGTCACCCCTCCGAGGCTGGAACTCTGTCTGAGGTTGCGAATCAGCTGAAGGAGGCTCTGCCTGGACATGTCGACCTTCACCAGCACGTCGAACTGCAGTCCCTCCTTCTTCGAGGGCCTGGACTCGACGTGGGTCACGGTACCCTTGAAGTTCTCCACCGTCTTCAGGATCCGGGCCAAGGACCCGATGCCCTCCCGCAGCCGCAGGACCAGAGCGGCCTTCTGGACCGTGTTTTCGCCCTCCGGAGTCTCGGCGATGGTCTTGGCCAACACCACTTCCTCCTCCGTGAGGCCGGAATCTGGAAGGTAGAGAAGGAACCGTGCAGAGACAAGGAGTCGATATAATGGGTGCCATCAAGAGAGATTTCGCGCCTACTCCGTGGAGAAAAATAAAAATGGACTCCCTACGGGGGATGAAGACCGCGGAAAATCCCCGAAGAGACAGTCCAGCCTCGTCTGAAGCTCCCTTTTCTCCGAGAAATCACCCGGGCCAATGATCGCGCAATTTAGAGTCCATTCCGAGTGGCTGGGACCGCGAGGGGGGGCATTGTTGGAGGCTGTAGCGCTTTTTGATTGCAGGGGGCGGCTGGGGGGTGGCAGGGTAAAAGACCGTCATAAGGCATAACCGCATTATATACTGCACTCGCGGAGACGCCGGGATCTGGAAAGGCTTCCTGGGCCTGGTAATACGACTCTAAATGCATCTCGACCTCCTCAGGGTCGCGTAATTCAGCAAAGTGCCGGCCAACCTCTCGCCCCGGACCTACCCCGACAATGGAGCTGTTTCACCCTCCATTTACTCGCCCTCCCACGCCTTCACCTAGTTAACTCGCCCCCGCTCGACTTTCGACACTTTACCCCAGAATTTCTCACTTTTCTGTCGATACCGAACAAGTGATGGATGGACCTCTCAATCGGGAGCAATCTGAATTTTCTGCACGAGTTGAGGGAAATGCCATAAGACGACTTACCGTCATTTCCTGATTTTCCTTCCCCGTCTGACCAGGATGCCTCCGCTTTGGCCTCTATGAATGTACAGAAAATGTCTCCATTTAACATTCGTGCACATGCAGAGGGTAAATTCTTGTCTTTTGACAAAACAATGATCCTTACCTCCTTCTTTGGCTGCGCAGGTGAGCGACTCCGCCTGATCGTCATCGCTCGAGGACGCATCGACGTAGCGTTGCTCCTCGGACTGATGATCGTGCTCGGAACTCGTGTCTATTTGTTAACAACAATGCAAACAACGATCCGTCATGCGTACGTCTACACGAAAGGAGTGAAAAGTGCACATCTAACATGCTGCGTTCGGAACATTTGTCAGGACATTGGCTACTTTAGTAATAATTAATCAATGACAACGATCGACTAGGGTAATAATTAATTAATAACATTGCTCGTGCCACACTCACCATTCGCTCGTTGACGTGCCTCTTCCAGCACACTCTGCTTCGTCTGTTTAACGACCAGAGTCTCGAAACGAGCGTCGTCTACAAGAGAACGACGGCGGGCAGGATAGCCATTCTGTAAAAAGAAAAATTATAAGAAATGTTTATTTCATTTGTACAGCCAACATTTATGACAAACAGAATCCAATTTTTATATTGTTAAAATGGAGGGCTAAAGAAGTGGCTCAATCTTGAAGGGGAGAAAATTCTGAAAATGACGTTTTGGTGAATTTTTCAAGTTATTTCTTTTGATCTCGTTTTGTATCCTGTCGAGTCCCTTGGGACAGGCTACGGGCGGTCCTGGGGTAGAAGAGGACAGAAATCAAACGCTGGTCGTGAAGTTAATTCAACTCTTAACGAGCTGCAGGAAATGGTCGGTGCGCCCCGGCGACATTTCCTGTGCAGCCGAGAAGCATTGAAGTCTCCGCTATCTCCTAACTGGCCCAAAACCAGTTCACTAGGAAAAGCGATTCTACACAGTGGACTGCACAGGGAATCCTCATTGTAGGAGCCGGAAATGAAATAAAGTCCCCGGAAATGAATTAAATCTCAGGAAAAGACGTGGTCGAACCGGGGTCGGGGGCTGCGGAGGACAAAAGACCGGTATCAAAGATGGAGCCTCCCGTAGAGGAAATTGGGAAAGGAAGTATCTATAATGGGACCTGTCCAGTCCTCTAGTGTGCAAAACCTCTCTTAATGAAATGCCTGACATCCAGAAATAATTTTGTCATGTCATTCCCCCCTCTCCTGCCCCTAATCTGAGGCCCCCTCTACATACCTCGAGGAACCTTCAAAGACCTCGATTTTCGAGGACTCTTAAAAGATCACTCGATTTTCTCCGCCAACGAAGCTCAATTTGACAAAAACCTTTCCTACCAAACTTGTACCCTGCAATATGACGAACAACTTTTCTGCTAGATATTTCCTCGTCTTCTTTGTCGTTAATGCAGAAAATCGAAAAATGATGGGTGTAGAGAGCAGACTGCAAGTTCGGCGGTCCCGCCATTTTGGCGCCGTTCTCCCGTGAGACAGAGTTTCGTTTGAGAGGAATTTGTTTTTCAGGTCCCTCGGACGTTGATAACGAATGTCAAGGAGGGAATCCCGCTTACAGGGATCGCTGATTACGAAATCATCACGGAGGAATTGCTCTATCCAGAGGCGTGTACGCCGGTAGAGTCGCAGAGCGATCGTTCGAATTCTTCAGGCTCGTTTCCAACTAACCGTGTTAATTCTTCACGTGCTCCCGACTATGCGGTTGGCACGGATTAGAGAATGTTTAGCAATTCTTTAATGCACGCCTCTTGAAGTGGGCCAAGTACTTTGCCGCCAGATGGATGACCGATGAGTGTGCGGCCAGTTGCATCACCGAACGATTATCCTTCTGGCGGTCTCTCGACGGGCTACTGTGTGCAGGTTCAACCAGGGAAACGACAGTTTAACCCTTTGCCGATTAATCATTCTTCTTCCCCCGACTACTTAACCTCATCGCGAGAATGGATCACCTCCTCTCGGAAAATGGCCTGATCGAGGCCCAGCTAAATTGTCCTGTATTGTCTGACTTGTAAGAGGGGAAACGTGACTCTCATTTTTCACGAAAAGATTCTTCTACACGATAAACACTTTTTTTAACAAGTTATCGTATATTGAGTGCAGTCGGTCAAAGGCTATTAGCAAGGCACAAAGAAAGGACCGTCCACCTTCGAGCGTCTTGTAAATGACCGTTCTGAACACATGCTCTCCACAGTCTGCAAACTTCTAAGCCGGCTCCGTGAAGCTCAGCGTCCCGGGAGAATGTCCTTACGTAAGGTGCAATTAAATAAAAACGAGCCAGGAACAGTAAATCAATCGACAAAGAACTGGAAAAACGCCGCCATCTCCCCTTATGGCCAAGTTGGCCAATTTACTGGAAGCTGACATAATTTATTAATAATTATATTACTAAACCGCTCGTCTGTAAAATAAATAATCGACGAGTTGTATGTTTGAACACACATGAAAACGGAAATGCAAAAAGTCCTGGGAGCAATTTCTCATCAACAGCACCGGATGCATTATTCAACACTAGTGGATCTCATTAACATGTATCGTTCGAATCGCGTAGAAGAAGCGGTAATGTGCTATGCACAAGTGCCGGCACGCTCCATTCGGGCAAAACACTTTAAATACAGTGATTAAGACCAGCGGGTATTAACATAGTGGATCATAGAGTAAGTGAAGCAATGGCGGCCGCTCGTAGAGGCCGAAGGAGTGGAGGCGAGCCTCCAAAGGCATAACGGTCCTCGGTGCTCAGGGCCTTACCACAATCACTCCGTTCTCATATTTATAACATATTCATAATTATCACGCGGCAAGGTCGATTGATTTCTCAATCCGATTACCGGCCGGTCGCGCTAATCGAACGGAAACGATTCCTGTGGCGTCTTTCAGTGCCGCCATATTGCTTTCCCGCGGCCCGACATTTTCGCCATACAACAAAACAATCGAAACGCAACAAAGAAGAAGAAAAAAAGAATACAAAAACTCGGAAATATTAACGAACGATATAACCTACAGTGTTAATGCGTAACATATTTTCAAGAGGAAGTAATTTGCGGCGGGATACCGACGTAAGGAGAAATAAGGCACGTGAATTTCGCACGTGGGATCTGCCGGCAACAACAAGTCAATTATATGTAATAACAAGGATTACAACTACATATGAGATTGGATTTACTAAAAAAAAAAGAAGAAGAAGAATAAGGGACTGATGTGACAGTGGCTCTTATCGGGATCAATGATATCGTGTCGGGAATCGATAAGAAGAGATTTTTGAGCATGGATGCTTCCTGACCGACCCGGGCCCCGATTTTCGAGTTTTCCATTTTTTATTTTTTCTTCGAAATCGAACGAAGAGGCTTTGCACATTTTTCCCGAGGTCAGGTGACTTCACTATCCTTAACCGATCTTTGCGTTCCGCGCGAATGGAACGATCAAGGACGAGTCGCGCTCTACTCGAGCCGGCTCGCATCCGTTTCGATTTTTACGGCGAGTCGATTATACGGCAAAATCGATTTTCTTTTATACTCCCCCCCCTCTCTTGGATCGGAACCTCGCGTTATGCAAAAGTAGAGTACGCCGGCCTTGGAGGCCGATCTTAAAAAGGGAAAAGAAACACACCTCCTCGACTCGAAGATCAAGGGCTGCGTCGCTATAACGAGGCATCGTTAAGGAGGAAAGGGAGGACAAGAACAGGATTCTTGGGCCGAAGGACTCTTAATAATTCAGTAACGATCGGGCAATTGCGCGTAATGGAACATGCCGGGAAACAGCCGGAGCGGAAACGTCGGGGATAAAAGTTTTCCTGAAAATTTCACCGATTAGTCATTCCCACGTGCGATCGGATCGCAAAGAGGCGCGTCTAGAATTCGTGATGAGTGGAGAAAGTGCCGGGTCGAAATACCGTCCTGCACGAGAAAAGACTCATATATGCACAGCCGTGGCACAAACATCGAGCTGGCGCTTCGGAGTCGTTAAATGCCGTCAAATTGAAGTCCCGAAATTTTTTGCCGATTTTTTTTTTTTTTTGTTCACGCCCTCGGCTATTTTCTTCTTAATTTCTTTCCTGAGATGACCCGCGGATTGGCGAACCAAGTGTACCGTGATAACAGGGTGAAGAAGAATTATAAAAAATTGCTTTCCAACCCAGGACCTTGTAAGACTAGTACAAAGACATGGCCGGACTCAAGTGCGACTTCCACCATGTCTGGCTCGATGGGCTATAATTTCCTTTTCGCTTTAATTCTCTTTTTCTTCCCCTCCAGTGCGATGACTCTTGCGCTGTTTACTCCCGTTGCAAGGTCGCAGAGTCGATCATGCAAGGAGACGCTAAAGCCGAGAAAAACGAATACGCTCTCCTTGCACTTTCTCCGTAAGAAGCCGCGAGATCCGCTCTTTTCCGTTTCACGCCGGCGGGAATTTCACTCTACGACAGTCCCGGAGAAAGAGCCGTTTTTCTGATGTAATTTCGTTCCCCCGTTACGAAAGACCGACGAAAGTCTCCTCTTTGCATCGGTCCTTCACGGCCTCCTGGTCGCGCGTCGCTCTTCGTCGCTCTCCGAGGCGAGAAATCGGCATTAAAGAATTCTCCCGGCCGATGTTACGCGAAGAAGCGACAACAAGGGACCGCTTCGAACGAGCAAAGAGAAACTCTTGACACCCGGTAACCTCGACAATCGGCAGATTCCCTCGGAACTGGAATTTTTATCGCCCATGATTCGACAATTCCCGACAAAACCCCTCGTACGGCAAATGGCGCCCAAAGACCTCTCGAGTTGATTGCCGGTGAGTCTTTGACAACAAATTCTCCAAGTCCTACAGACACGTTAACCGAAAATATGGGACATTTCTACGGCAGAAATTATTATTTCAAAAGAGAGCAGTGGCCTGCAAGAGCAAGTGTACCATTATCGCGATCATGTTCTCGTCAGGTTATTGGTCTAACAACCTATCCGGACTATGAGTCCGTCACGGAGACATTGTTCTCAGTCTCTATTGTGTCTGGCTCGCTATAGTACTCTGAAACTATTCCCATTGCAAAGAAAAAAAAAAGGATAAACGACCGACATGATACAAACTCAATTCTCTCCCAAATGAAAACCCTGCATTTATAATCACACTTTCCAGCGTGATTCCCGAATCTAAAGTGCGATCAACTAATTGCGCTAAGCGTCATCCACGGTAACCCGGGTACTCCAAGTACCACTCCATCCCTCAAACTCTACAACGACCTCCCAACCCCATTGGCCCTAAAAATGAGCCCGCCACCCAAAGGAACCGTCATCCTGGTGCCAAACACCCACTCAAAAACGGAATGAAAGTATTAAAAAAAAAAAAATGAACATAATCGCCATCTCATTCATCCTGTCCTTTCATCGTCTCTCCTCACCTCAATGCTGTAGGACTTCTTGATGGCGAACATCTCGCGGTTCTTCTGTGCGGCGGCGACGGCCATCATGATGCCGATGTCCGAACTCCTGGACGAAGAATAGGAAGAAGAAGAAAAAGCGCCCTGCCGAGTCTGCGATCTGGGTGGGTCAGCCTGATGCTCCTGGGAGTTCACTGCTGACACGGAGTCCGTGAGTCCAGACGCGTCTTCCGCGGAGTCTAGGAACCGGGGGTCCCTGATGAGCCCTCTCGAGCTGGCGACCACAAACTGATAGCCGAAGGGTCTCTTCGGCGTCTGGTCGTCTGTCGCAGGTCCGGCTCAGAGCGCGGCCCTCGGGGTCGGGTCGGGTTCCAATTACTCCGCGCAGCGACGACTCGGCTCCGGCCACGGCAGTTCCCTGCTGGGATCTCGAGGTGTTCTCCCTTCGGATGGTCGAGGCGAACGAGAGCGAATGCGTCGTCGGGGCGGGTTGCCGCCGCATATAAACGTTGCCTCCCTTCACCGTGCTCCGCTGGGGTCAGGAATGCCCCCACCGCGGGGTTTCGGGTGGTCCTCCACCCCCACCGCCCGCGACGCCGCCACGCGGTGGACGCCGTCGCGTTTCGTAACTGGAATCGCCGCCGCGAGCTCCCCAAAGGCCGGCTCCGATTGGCCGCCAGCTGGGGGATCCCGGCCGCTGGAGCTGCACCGACTGAGTCAGCTGGACGCCCAGCTGAGGGAATCCGACCGAGACCGCCAAAGGTGAGCCGGCGGCCGGGATGTGATGGCGTCGCTGCAGGTGCAGCTGCAGGTGTCGCCGGGACCACGATCTAGGGTTATCGGATCGTCACATCGGATGACTTCGCATTCGACATGGACTTACCCATGTACGCGATATGGTCGTCACATTTCTGCTCCCGATGGTCATGAAAGTGTTCCTTAGGTGACTAGGAGATTGGATTCGGTGATTTGAGGAACCCTAACCAGCAACATCGGTCTTGGTCCTGGTCTTGGTCGCCGGGACGACGATCTAGGGTTATCGGATCGTCACATCGGATGACTTCGTATCCGACATGGACTTACCCATGTACGCGATATGGTCGTCACATTTCTGGTCCCGATGGTCATGGAAGAGTCCCTTGGGTGACTAGGAAATTGGATTCGGTGATTTGAGGAACCCTAACCAGCAACATCGGTCTTGGTCCTGGTCTTGCCAACTCGAGTGTTGCTTGGTTATCCCTTGTTAGGACTCCGGGAAGGTGGACCGAGTCCACTTGACAATTAGTTGGGTTTAACCCCTTCAGCGACAAGCTCTTTTGACGTATGGGGGAACTTCATCAGGCCGTGCAAGCAATATTGGACCAAACGTCCGACGCATCTATGGGCCCGTAGCAATGAAAGGGTTAAGTCCTGCTGGAACGGGGCCATAGTCAATGGATATAGTAGGTCCTGGAGAAGTAACCATGGTGTTCCTCGTTTTCCTTCGACCTCCTGCGCGTCGTTCAAGGAACTCCCGGAAAGTGCGATTAAGTTTTCCCGCGGCCTAAGTCGTCACTCGTGACGTCAAAATCTCTCTCACGGCGTTACATCCTTGAAGTCGTTAGTCACGCCGACGTATATCAAATCTGCCTGACATTCGGTCCACCGTTACCATTCTGCTGGCAATCGTTAATGGCTCCCAAGGTCTCCCTTAGCGTCAGGTGCAAAAGAGCTGCTTCCTTATTGCCCCTTTCAGGCGCATTGTTCCAGGAAAATTTGACTCCGCTAGCTCGTTCCACGCCCTGGTAATCGTGATTGACTATGACCTATCGCAAACTCACCCTGAAATCGTTCGAAGCGTCTAAAGACAACTAACGCGTTACAATAAATCCTGGCGACAATTCCGTAATCCATGTAATTAAACCCAGTTCTTCTACAGCAACCACATGTTAGTTAAATCTGTACGGATTAGTTTGTACGGATTAATCGCGACGATTTATCGTCACGGGTGCACATTGATAAGAATGAATCCGGATTTTCATGCACTTTAACACACCTAATAACTGAAGTTTCACATAGAAAAGCGTGAAATGGGGTAACAATAAATTAGAAACTGTACAATTACACCTAACATTTTCTGCATGTTTACTTGACTTGGATGCTGAATGCGATATTTCAGAGTACATGTAATTTTACTGCAATTTGTAGTAGCATCAAAATGACCGATAGTCAAGTACGTAAATTGACATGGTCGTTTTAATCGGTGTAGCCACTTTAACCGCAGAACGTTTCAAAGATTTTTCTCGCGGCTCATCTTTTCCTTGTGACATTTCCTCGTTGTTCCTGGCCGTTTTCCTCTTCCCTGGTCCACCTGACCTGATCGTCAATTACGACGTCGGAATCGACCTGACGGTCACGTTAACGATTACGTTATCTCGGACACGTGTGGATCGCGCGACGACATCGATGGGCGTTGTCAATCACGCGTCACATATCGCTCGCAATTAACTCAGGGAAATCTCCAGAGCACCTGGAAAGCACCTATCATCGAGATTCCGGAGAAACGCATGCACGTCATCGAGGTGAAATTCCGAGAGGCTGGCAGGAATAGCCGGCCTTTCCTGGAAGGACCAAAGATGCTTCTCCGGGGGATTTCCCGGTCAAGAAACTCTTCCTCGTCGGTCTCCACCTCGGGTTCAAGAGACCGAGTCGAGAAGTGGCAGCGATGCCACTTAATTGCGGTTTTCCGGTGCGATCATTCGGCTAACACAACGCCAAGCTCAAAGAGTCATCGTGGAACTCTTGACCATACCCTGGGACGTCACATGGAATGACCATGACCGTCCCCCGAGGATTTCCAGAAAATTAATACAGGGAATTTGTCGATTACCCGAAGGCCTCGAAAATTCGTCGGTAATCGTATTCGTGCGAGTACGCGTCGGCCAAGGAATTGCGTGACGACCAAGACCAGATCGCAGGACTGGATCGTGAAGTAACGCCATATTTTTCTTTTTTATCTGACCGTTCACGTACGCGACACGTGGCGAGAAGTGGTCGCAACTGCGACGGCATTTCTTCTGCCGTGCATATCGTGTCGGATCTTTTTCCTTTATCCTTTTCACCGTCCCTGATATGCGATTTCGACCTTTCTCCGCGATCTTTCAAAAGAAAAAGGGACGCGCGGAGGACCTCCATTATTCCAGCCCGTCGAGTAGCTGCACCTCGCGAGGCGTTAAAATCCTTGAAAAATGGAGCACGCGGGTCACCGATTGGTCAATCCGGCTGGTAATTGGCTCTTCCGATATTTTCACGTAGATCACGCCGCGAAGTTCAGGTTCCAGACGAGTGCCGGTATTACTTTCATGTGCGAAGGCCACCGCGTGCTCGGAGACGGAGCGGCACTTGCTCCACGTCGAGACAACATGACGGATAACCTTCTACACCTTAACACTTCTCGTAGACCTACGACCATCAGACGTACCGATCTACGCCCATGAGAAACGGTGCACCTTGAACCCGAATTTCGAATTTTTACTGGATCCTTTTCGACGGTCACGAGTCGATCTGGGACACGAGGGACCATACAAGACCATTAGGATTTCGTCAGATTTCAGAATTTCAATTTATAGGAATCTTTGGGCGGGAAACGTGAACGGCCGTTGAGTGGATCTCCTATATTATGGGACGAAAGATCGGGAGAATTCGTCAATCGATTTCTCTTGGCCGTCGTTAAGCGACGCTTACGTCGGAGAATGGGAATATGGCGTCGCGATCCTTCGACCATTTGCGCGGTAGCCGTCTATTGGTCATTCTCAAGGGTACATATTCGCGAATTCGCGAGTGCTGACGTTTAGTTACGCGGTTACGACTCGGGTTCAGGAAGTGCGTCGATTACCGTGAACGCGATCGATATCCTTCGACCGGCTCCGGATCCGTTATGGCCAAACGATTAGCTCCTTAATATCCGAAGGAGGTGTCGCGCCGGTTTTTCCGCTACGCGGAAACGCCGACGAAACGCGCGGTCGACGCCCGTACGTCACGGCGATCCCCGGCGGAATTACAACAGGAAACTTCCAGATCGGCTGTAATTGGGTGATTCAACGCACGCATGCGCACAGTGGCCAACACGGGCCGGGAAAACTAGAGAAAAAAAAAAAGAAAAAAGGCCAATAAAGAATATTCCAGTCGGAAGATCTTCCGCGAATCGAGCCTTGCGAGGAGCGTAAATCGGCTTCGTTACATTTTCATGATGCATCAAGGATCGTTACATTTTCATGACGCCTTGAGGATCGCAACCAGACGCGGATCGCGTCCACCTCGAATTTTCTTTTCGCGAAAATGAAGCCAGGGACGACTCGAAGTCGGCGAAAACGACTCCTGAGGTTAGTCTGAGGTGGCAAGCTTAGGAATTCAGCGTGGTCGAGATATAAAAAATCATAGACTCGATCACGCGTTAGCGGTTATGATTTGAGTACTGTTATGTCAGCTGTTGTTGGGACGCCATTTTGCCTGCCGCCCCGATCGCCCGTTTTTGCCTGATCTAATTGCCTGTCTCTGTCGCGCAGCCTTGAAACGCGACACAAGGAGTTTCTTCCGCATCTTTTTATCGAAAAATTGAAAAGTGATCTCGCGGAATCGTGTCGTGTCTCAAAGCACGATCTCGAGCCGAGCGCAGTGATTAGCCAGGCAGGATCGCGGAAGTGATCGAAAGGTCGGCCGCACATTTATACGGATATTTACATTGTGTACATCAAAGGTGCACAGGTATCCTTACAGGTGTGCACAACGGTAAGGAGAGGTATGGATAGGACAATGCAGACATTTTCTGAAGATCTTTCCCGGTCTCTTGAGTTCCCCATGAGAAGATCAGTCATCGAGTGAAATTATTTGCGATGTCGGGGAGCACCCTTAGACGTTATCACGAGACCTTCCTCCAGATCCTGATCGCTCCTTATCTTCGAATGCTAATGTCCTGCCGTTGAGTTATGCAATAGTCGGATAATTGTTTCCTCAATGCAAATCGATCGATCGAAAAGCCTTGAGAGCCACGCCAAAGCCGGTTGAAATGCACGCGGGGGCTCGATTATGCTAAGAGAGTGTCCGGTAATAAAGTCGTCATACAATCGTCTTTTTAATTGCCGAGCCAAGTCGCGCACTTGGTTTGCTCGCGATTCCCGTTGTTCCTTGCCGGAAATCTGGAGTAACAATTAAAAACCCCAGGTACCTTAGTTCGTATTCCAATATCTAAGGCACGACCTTGCGGAAAAGAAGGGGACGCAAATATCAAGGTATAACATTTATTTCTTCGAGAAATTATCTTATTAATTAACATCAACGTGGATGCAAGTGTGTAAATGACGCCATGTTCGATTCTTTAAATAATTCCTTACGATTCTAAGGCGTTTGAAAAAATAATCGCAGATAATAACACCTCCCTCCGCGCTGTTAACCCAGTAACCCATATACTATTTCTCATTAAACATTTA